TTTTTAAACTATTATTTATTTGTAATTGTTTTTCTACGCATTCTTGAATACTTTTACAATTACAAAATTTTATCGCTTACCTTCCCTAAGTCATGTAACTCATCATGTGTATTAAGCAATTTCAATTAATATATTATATCCATATTATAATTCGACGAAGGATTAAAATTTAATGTTTCGTTATTCGGCAAACACTTTTATGGGTGTCCGTATTTTTCATTGTTTCGTGATAGGTCCTTAATTGGAATTTAAGAGGCACATCATTTCAAGGACCTTTGTCATCCCGTTCTCCCTGGAAGAGCCGTTGTCCGACATAACCTGGTCTGTAAAATAACTCCCTCGACCGGATATCCGTAAACAGATTCCGCGGAATTAAATAAAAGTACACATAATTTGAGAGTTAAAATTTAATGTTTGATCGACAAGAGAATTGTTTTCATTCCGTGAACGCCTGAAAGTCTTAGAGATCTGTATGCTTAGTGCGAATTTTTAAACGTTCTCGACAGCGTAAAAGTTAAGCCAATTTTGTATGGAGTTGGAACGTTTGCCTATGTTTGCCGCTAGGGGCGCTGTTCCAACTACATACAAATTTCAGGTGACTTTTACGCTTTCGAGAACGTTAAAAAACTCGCACTAACCATACTGAGGGGATCCTTGTGCTTAGTTCGAGTTTCTTAACGTTCTCGATAGCGTAAAAGTTAAGCCAATTTTGTATGCAGTTGGAACAGCGCCCCTAGCGGCAAATGTACGCATTTTTTCTCCTACCTAAGCTGAGAGCCTTGAGAGGCTATTTCAGCATAACCCTAACGTTTGTAGGTGAGCTCAAGGGGCTCAAACCTGACGACGATGCTAACACGAACCCTAGCAAGAGCAGTGCTTCACAGAATCTACCACCGGATCGGAAACGTGACCCACTGAGAAGATTCGGCGAGAAACTCAGTGGGCTGTGTCTGGGAGTTAATTTACTCGTCGAGCCCTTCGTCGCAAGCGACGGGTTCGACGAGAACGGTGACCGGTGCTTGAAGTACCTAGAAGCACCGTTAGTGGATCGGGAGGATCCGAGATGACGTGTTTTGGGCGACGTCGACTGCTTTCCATTCTGTCCGCAGAATCGGGAATGTAGTTACCGGCGGCCACGATGAGAGGGTTCTCGTGTCGTGCCGCTTTATCGAAGTGGTACCTAAGCTGATAGCATTGAGAGGTTATGTCAGCGTCGCTTTAACTAGTAGGTGAGCTCACAGGGCTCAAACCTGATGACGTTGCTAACATGAACCCTAGTAAGAGCCGCGCTTCGCAGAATCTACTTGAAGACCCACTGAGAAGATCCGGCGAGAAACTGTGGGCTGTGTCTGAGGGTTGTACGCAAACGATCCCATTCCGTAAAAATATGAGCTAACTTTTACGTTAGCGAGAACGTTAAAAAACTCGCACTAAGCACACCTGTCCGGCCGCGGCCCGCGATCATACGAAAGTCGTCGACCCATCTAGATGTTTGACGACCGACGCTCTCCTTACCTGGAAGTATTCACGATCAAATCGCCAATTAATGTTTTAATGCAACTTAATAAAATTGAAGTTAATGCGTTCGCAAGCCCCGAAGGTGCACGAAAATTCAAATTATATGCATAATATATACGGATATATTTAAGATCTAATTTATCTCATCACGATTTTTTAAAATTCTGAAATAATGTTTTTTTTTTCTTCTATTGCTGGTGTTAAGTGTTTATTTAAGCCCATAGACATCTACAACGTAAATGCGCCTTCCACCTTGAGATATAAGTTCTAAGGTCTCAAGTATAGTTACAACGGCTGCACCACCCTTCAAACCGAAACGCATTACTGCTTCACGGCAGAAATAGGCAGGGTGGTGGTACCTACCCGCGCGGACTTACAAGAGGTCCTACCACCAGTAATTACGAAAATTATAATTTTGCGAGTTTAATTTTTATTGCACGATGTTATTCCTTCACCGTCGAAGTCAATCGTGAACATAATTTGTTGAGTACGTATTTCATTAGAAAAATTGGTGCGTCGCTCAACACGAATGCACCGGACGTCTTATCCTTTAGGCCACGACGACTTCAAATTTGATGGTAAACCGTTAACAATTGTGATTGAGATAGCAATTGAGAAAGCAATCAAGCTAATATATATATCTCCTTCCCTTTTCAAACCTCATCGAAGAAATAAGGAAAGAGTACCGATGGAAGAAAAAAGAGGAGAGAAAAATGAACACAATTGGAGTAGGTCAAAGGCTCTCTGTTAACTCTGCTCCGATGTTACGTTGTACGGTACTAAAACGGAACTGTGTGCTTAGTGCGAGTTTTTTAACTTTCTCGATAGCGTAAAAGTTAGCTCATATTTGTATGGAATGTGATCGTTTGCCTACGCCTCCTCCCGATCCACTAACGGTGCTTCTAGGTACTTCAAGCACCAGTCACTGTTCTCGTCGAACCCGTCGCTTGGGACGAAGGGCTCGACGAGTAAATTAACTCTCAGACACAGCCCACTGAGTTTCTCGCCGGATCTTCTCAGTGGGTCGCGTTTCCGATCCGGTGGTAGATTCTGCGAAGCACGGCTCTTGCTAGGGTTCGTGTTAGCATCGTCATCAGGTTTGAGCCCCGTGAGCTCACCTACTAGCCACGGTTACGCTGAAATAGCCTCTCAAGGCTATCAGCTTAGGTAGGAGAAAAAAAAAATGCCTACGTTTGCCGCTAGGGGCGCTGTTCCAACTGCACACAAAATTGGGCTAACTTTTACGCTATCGAGAACGTTAAAAACTCGCACTAAGCACACTGCACTCTTCGCCTTTCATCTTCACCTTTGACTCCTTCAAACAACGCTGTCGGAGAGTATAGAGCGGTAGGCTGCAACTTGGCTCTTCCCCTAGCGCTGCTGACGTCCATAAGCGATAGTAACCAATTATCATCCGATGGGTGGGTCGTCACTCGTCTGCCTACAATGAAATTAAAAAAAACCTTCAAAATACATAGGTAATGTAATCTACAGTAAGCATTGGCCCAAAGACGTAGTATTTGGTCTAATGTTTTTGCCAACTAAACTACAGAACATCACGGGGTTTAAATAAGTTATCACAGATTAACATGCCCACCTAAACACTTAATTGTAGCAATTGTGGGCCCACAAATTGTGGGTAATCCTTGAACCAAACATTGGTAACTATAAATTTATATAAGCGCCATCTACTGTTAGTACTTCGAATTAAGTTTTCAGTTTGTTCTGACATGTGTGAAATCCGGTACCAAGTTTAAGTCAAGTTTTACAGAAGGCCAATAGATGGCGCAGATCTAGAGAAATAATGTTGTTATTTTGAACACAAAAAAATGAATTTGCTTCTTCCATAAGCAAAAACTTTTTATAATACATGGAATAATTGTATGAAATCTTTTAAAATAAATCGTTTAAAATAAAGCAAAATATGTCTTGGACTGTTATCACTAAGAAGCAATATAATGATATTTTAAAAATGCAACACAATTTTATGTTTCATTTAGGTTTGTGACCACGGTTAATTTTTTTCCGTTAATCGCCCAAAATATCCAGTAATGTTCATTTTAAATACAAACGAAATTTTAATTATCAAAAGTGACCTAACTGACAATCTTATGCCAAGAACAGTGTCAAAATGCCTACTTAGTTGCCAGAGTTTACGATCACCGTATTTATTATTCTACGAAAACAAACAAAGGGGGCTACAAAGAACATCATTAAGTTAGAAGACAATATGGCAGATTAATCCGCATGCTGCACATTGCTATAACCAAATAATGATGTAGTTATCGGAATGCACTCCAGCAAACACTTACCACTAGATACGACTTCAACAGGTTGCTCTGGTATCTGCGCCAATAACTTACGCTATTATACTAAATGAACGTAGTTTAAAAAAAACATGACTAAAAGAAAAAACAAAACCGATTTTTTTAGCTTTCTCTAATTCCTTACCAAAAACCCTTAGATTTTTACAGATATAAAAGAAAAGGCAAACGGAGGAAGCTCATGTGGCATATGTGTTTGCTGTCGAACTACTAATAACATAAGCGTTTAAAACAAAATGTAAGTCAAGTAGTCATTAATAGTCATTAATTTATTACATTACATTATTTATTAAGTCATTAATAAGCATACAGCCGCCCAGGCGCCCGTACGTTAATATTAGAAGAAATCCTGTAATTTTAACTATTTTGTACTATTATTGATCGAAGATTTTGGTGCCCAATAAAGGCATGAGCGTACTCTTTCTAATACGCGAATCCGCAATCGAAAGCAAAATAAGCTCACAAACGCGGTTCTTTTACTCTGTAAATCAGAATAATTGCGTTTACATTACGTGCAGTATAAAAACGGATTTTCAATCGAATTTTTTTTCGTTCATTTCTATAAAAAATCCTATGCACACGCACCGATTTCGCATACGGAAAAAGGTCCCTCACACCTGATATTTTACTGAGTAATGATCTTAGAAATCCACAGGTAATATTAGTTGTTTGCCCTCTAAGTCCTACTCAACGACGCCCACGATAAATATCTCAGTGCAACCTTGACCGACAAACTAAATGTTTGCATAGATATAATGAACAAAGTCGTTATTTTAAGGTGGTCTATGCAAAAACCAAAAAACGAAAATTGTATAAAGATAAAAATATAATCGTCAGGAACGAATTTTCTTGTACCGAGACCATTTGAACACGTTTTAATCGACTCTAGTGATGATATTGATTTCCTGTACTCAATAATTCTTATTGTTACCGAAAAGACTATTCAAATGTTTACAGAAAAATGGTACCGGTTAGGTTGTTTCTTTGCGTTGCGCTATGTCCATGAGCTATGATGACCGCTTATGATCACGTATTAAGCTTTAAGGGAAAAAAAATACAAATCTAAGTAATTTATTTGAAAGGTTACCATCATATTTATCATTATAAAAGCCACATTTTTACACGTATATTTATTACACAAAAGAGCTTACAATAAAATCAATTCTCAACCAAATTATCAATACACTTAATGTTAGTATCATTTGTATCAACAACAGTTTCCACTTCATCATTTCCAACCGTTGCCTCCTGTGCTTCTTCAGAATTGAACACAACCGAGCTATCTTTTGAACTAATTTCATTTTCATCCATATCTCTACTGACATTGCGTGCTATATCCAATTCACTTTTCAACCTCTGTATAGATTGCACAACTTCACTTTGAAAATTCATATTCAACTTGTACAGCTGTTCCGAATGTTCTTTCTCTCTTCTCAAATCGTTTCTCAGATGTGTTTCTTTATATTTTTCGTACTCCGTCGCGATTCGGACTTTAGATTCGTAAACGTGCTGTACCATTGTAACTAATTTAAACAATTTTTCAATGACTTTTTCTTTGACTTCATTCGACATGTTAGGGTCTGATTCGAGATCTGTTTTAGCGTCCAGAGCCAAATCGTTCGCGGACGAAGGGAATCCAAGTAAAGAGGAACTGGATCTATTGGCGCTGCTAGTTTTAGGCACGGAAGACGCGTTTCCAGTTTTATTCGTATTGTTATCTTTCACTACGTTTTTAGGGGAAAACGATCCATGAGTGACCACCTCAGTAAACACGCCTGAGCAAGGCTTTTTCGCTTGATACTCAGCTGTTTTTTTAGTTACCTTTTTAATGAGCTCACTCTGTTTACACTTCTGCTCTTCGTACGTTGATTTTTGTAATACTTCTTCATGGGTTACGGTGCTGTCTGTATCTGCTGTTTTGGCTTGGAAAGGACTGCCTTTCCTATTACTGAAATTCGTGACGGTCAACTTCGACATTTCCTTACACGGTAACACGAGCGTATATGGCGATGAAAACTTTTCAGGTCACCGAACTAAATTCTTCACTGACACTGATTCTGTCCACTCCGCGTGCAATCAGTGATGGAACTAAGCGTTCGTTTATATCAAATATCGAATGGCTGTCCTTTGAGCGCCAAGTGTGGGTTTCGCTCCATAGTTTTGGTCTGTCAACGTATCCCAGGCGTGGTAATGAATTTATAATGTTTTAAATACAGTAATGTCGGTCCGAATGCGCTTGGCGTTGCGAACAACGTAAATATTACAGCCAAATGGGCGATCATTGTATCCACATTTCTGTATTAATCAGCGGTGACGCTTCTTTGATGAGATCATACATAGTATGTTTAACCATAGGAAATTTGTCACACTACATTCTCTTAAATATCAGTTATAAATTGCGCAATATATATATTTAACATCAAAATAAATATTCTATGTAATATTATATAATAGAATTTTTTTTTTTATTGCTTTGATGGATGGACGAGCTCACAGCCCACCTGGTACTGGAGCCCATAGACATCTACAACGTAAATGCGCCACCCACCTTGAGATATAAGTTCTAAGATTTCAGTATAGTTACAACGGCTGCTCTATCCTTCAGACCGAAACGCATTACTGCTTCACGGCAGAAATAGGCAGGGCGGTGGTACCTACCCGCGCGGACTCACAAGAGGTCTACCACCAGTAATTACGCAAATTATAATTTTTGCGGGTTTGATTTTTATTACACGATGTTATTCCTTCACCGTGGAAGTCAATCGTGAACATTTGTTGAGTACGTACTTCATTAGAAAAATTGGTACCCGCCTGCGGGATTCGAACACCGGTGCATCGCTCAAAACGAATGCGCCGGACGTCTTATCCTTTAGGTCACGACGACTATCATTAATACACAAGTATAATACAAATGAATTATAATAAAATTTATTTATTTCTCGCTTAAAGCTTAGAGTACAATACAAAGCAAAGTTGCGTCAGCTTAGAATAAACTTTTGAAAGAGCTGGAGTCTGTACGAGCTTCAGAGACTTGTATTACAAATCACCAAGCTCCAAGGCGAACCTTTTCCAATACCAATTGTTCTATAGGAATCACAGACACAATCATAACACAAGTCAGTCGGGTGTCGGGAATACAAGGTCTTTCAGTTGGTGAGCCTTTAATATCTTCAACCACCGAGATCCACATATACCGCGCGCCGCCTGGGCGCAGGAGCCTTGTACGAATGTAGGCCCCAGCCTGAATAAAACCAAGTACCAATTATTCTAATTAAACACGGACTAAACTCATATTCACAAATTACTCCCAAGTTAAACGAAGTACATACCTACTCGTGTAATAAAAATCAAACCCGGAGAAAGTTTCGGATACATTTCGTATTTGATATATAATTGAGACAGAAACCTCACGTCTCAAAGTGGGTGGCAGCACTCATATTGTGATTTCTATGGGCTCCAGTTTTTTTTCTATCTAATCGTTGGTAGACTAAGGAACTACTCTAATTACGCGCAGACCGGTAGGTGAGCTCACGGGCTCAACTGGAGAGAATTAATAGCACTGACGCAAGGGAATTCCTTCGCTGAATCTACCACCGGATCGGAATCGCGACCCACTGAGAAGATCCAGCGAGAAACTCACTGTGTTGTGTATATAGGACATATACTAATTTTATGTCACGTTCCTAAAAAACTCTGTAGTCAGGATCCATATTAATCGCTATCTGGTTGTAGTGTTGACCGCGGTAACCCCTCACCTCATCCGGGTTCTGACCTCGGAGGAGATCGGACGCTTGGGCGAAGAGTGCAAGGGAGTCGTTTAGTAGGTAGGGCCCTGAAAACATCCTAGGGCCCGCGGTCTCGCAGTGTCGGACGAGTCCCACATACCTCGCGCGCCTCCTAGGCGCGGGGACCTCGTAGAAGGATCGGCCCCGGACCCGAAAAAAAAGTGTCCATATCAACGCCATTGTAATCTCAGCACAGCACACAGCAATGGGAGCCCCATTTTTGTGCGAGAATTAAAGGGGAACTCATATATATATATCGACTGTATACATTGCAAAATTCAAATTCCTGCGCGAACATCATAAAATACTTGTTGCAACTCATTAATGTATAATTAATGTATTCGATTGTAAATGATCACTTTCACCCCGGCGGAACTGTACTGAGAATGGGCATCGATTTGTATTCCATCGCGGAACGTATTGCCGGATCAATAATAATGCGCGGCCGATGGTTATAGCAAAGAATTTGTACCACTTTTATGTTGGCGTCTTTGCACAGTTTCAAAGATCGCCTTAACTTAAGTCGGAATGTGATTGTCTGCCAGAAGTACCATTAATTTTGTTGACTTTTACTCGTAACTAAAGCTAATGTTTTTAGTAATGCGTTTCGGCTTGAAGGGTAGGGCAGCCGTTGTATTCTTAAAACTGAGACCTAGAACTTATGTCTCGAGATAGGTGGCGGCATTTACATCTCTTACTGGAATTTACACGGCATTTACATATCTTACTGGTGGTAGGAACTCTTGTGAGTCCGCACGGGTAGGTACCACCACCCCGCCCATTTCTGCCGGGAAGCAGTAGTGCGTTTCGTTAACGTTGTAGATGTCTATGGGTTCCAATAACCACTTAACACCAGGTGGGCTGTGAGCTCGGCCACCCATATAAGCACTAAAAAAATAAAATAAAAAAGGTCGGTTGTTACATACAATGCACCTTAGGTTTCAACCTCACATCTCAAAGTGGATTTACCGTTTACCACCAAGGGTCCACGAAGCCGTTTATAAGCACCGAGGTGTGTGAAATAGAAGTGGAGAGCCGAAGACTGAACCCAGTACTGTGGATTACAAAAGGCCTATGTCGCGCAGTGGACAACTCTGGGCTAATGATGATGATGATGATAATAGTCACTAAACCTCGCACTATAGAGTATCCACCTGACGTCCAGCATACCAATACATTATCGGTTACATCAGCACGATACTTGTTTCACCCTCAACAATCCAGACTAACAGTTGACTACACACGGATACAAAATTAGAACTAGAAAACAAAATTTAAACCTATAGATTCGAGTACATACTACACAGTCCAATTCATACATTTTACTGAATTTTATTTCACAAAATGACGGAAGTGACCTTGACACGCAACGATATTTGTACTATAACAATTCAATCATAAGCTGAAGCGATGATGTTATCTCCCAAGATACAAGTTCAACGATTTCATGATAAACGCGATTTGGTATGCAGAAGCGCGCGTACGCCAAGTCTGTTCCTCCATATCAAACAGTCTACTCGTTTCGAACGTATCGCCTCTCGCTTCAACATACGGCCATCACTCTTAAGCGGAAAAGGGACAAACCATCTGGATCACAACTCCTAGAATCAGGGTACGGTGTCACAAACAACAGAAAAGGCGTTACCGCTTATCGTTTCTAAAACGCCTTAACAGCGAATGACGATGCTGAGACTTGAGTCCTTGTGGAATCGACATTTCAAAAAGGATTCATATCAAATAGCTTTCCCTTACACTTGGATAGTGCGCATGCCAAAAGGACGCAACCGCCCGTTCGTCGCGTACCAAGAGAGACAATGCGTACCGGAACTGCACAATACGTGCTGAATTTGAAATAGCTGTATAAAAACCGAGGGGACCTTAGCGAAACTATCAGAAACTATCCAACCATCGTTCAATCAACACCAGTAGGAATCAGAAAAAAAATGGTGTCCAGTAAAGTGGTGTGTTTGGTCGCCCTCGCCCTCTTCGGGAGCGTGGCAGCGCAACCAGCCAAGGATGCCTTCTGGAAGGGAACCCCTATGGACAGCATGGTCGAGGAGATGAGGTCCGGCTGCGCCGAAGGATCCGACCCGACCGCCTGCATCAAGTACAAGGTCATGTCGCTACTGGACTCCATTTTCAAAAAGGACACTTTCCAGGTATAGATTCCGCTCACGTACAATCCCTAAAATAAATCATGTACGGTTTTATGACGTGTAACTCGCTGATTCTTTTGTAGATCTCTGATGTTGTCGAAGTGACGAAGAACGGCGCTGGCAACGACGTGACTGGCCGATCCACTGGCGACTTCTTCGACGGGGTCGAGAACTACATTCAGTCCCACGACGTGACCTTCAAGCTACCAATCGCCGACACTCAGATCACCGTCAGCCCGAGGAACCTTGACAACGACGAGTTGACCCTCAACGTCAAGTTCAACAAGGAAGGCGCTCGTTCAGTTGGAGAAGCACGCAAAGCTAAGCTCAAGAAAATCATCGTCCCCATCTTGGTGTTCGTTCTGCTCAAGGCCATGACCCTCATCCCATTGGCTATCGGCGTCCTCGGTCTGAAGGCTTGGAACGCTCTTCAGCTGTCTTTCTTCTCCTTCGTTGTCTCCGTGGCTCTGGCTATCTTCCAGCTTTGCAAGAAGGTGAGTTAATTTAAGCATAAATTTATTTCAACAACAAATCATTCATAAAACTTCTTAACTGTTGACATCACTAAATTTATTTATCCTATCACGTTTTCTCCTTAACTGTACCGCACGTGTTGCACTAAACGCTTAGAAACTCAGAAGCACCCTATATTGCACTTTACGTTTTTAATTTTACAAAATTTCATCATCGGTTCCTTATAGGAGCCGCCAATGTGGACTAACCTATCAGTTTTACTATCCATAAGTCTAATATTGTAGTTTACCCAGATCGCGGCTGACAACTCGCACCCTCAAATCGCTGCCCACGGTCCTTGGGACGCCGCCTACGCAGCAACCCGCCACAGGAGGGAGACCGAACCCCAGGAGCTCGCCCAAGAAATGGCATACAACGCTTACCATTAGACCGAAAACACGAACCAAAACCATCGACCTTCCATCCCGAAACCGTTCGCGACTGACGCTGTAAAAAAAATACAGTCTCAACTGCGAACGGTGCAAGACCAGACCAAAAAGGTTTCGATAGAAGCCGTTACCGTGTAAATATTATTTAAATGCGACTTATTTATTTAAAATAATTGTGCATGTGTGACTGTGTGATTGTGATGTATGACCGTTATTTATTTTTTATTTTTAATAAAATCATTAATGAAACATGTGTTTTATATAACTCGATACCCGGATAGCAATTGTACCTTCCTATTTGCTAAAAACCTCGAGGGGTTATGCTAGCTTCACCAAACCTTGTTTCAAATCTAATTCATTAATTGCTGAACTTTACTACCAATGATGAATAGAACATTCCAGTATTTTCCTTTAACTACGGAGCGTTTGAAACGGCAGGCTATTTTCTGTTTTTTTATTTCGCCACCTAAAATGTATTACAGTGAAATTGAAGTGATTAGGTTTCTATAGGAAACATTTTAAACACTTTCTCGTTGGGTAAATCAGAATGTTTCGCATTAGTTTTCCGATCATGTACAGATCAGCTTTCTATATTGTGTGCTCAGTTTGGACAATTGACAGTAGATTGTCAACGAAACATCAATATTAACACTACGGATGATACCACTAGCTACCTTAGTGCATTGAACGTGTCAAACAGCGTAATTCATTTCAAATATTAAACTAAAATAAATAATATTTTAATTCAATGCTAAATAAATTTCACATAGCTTTTTATGGGTGGAAAACACTATGCATAATATTAATAAATGGATGTTTGGAGGTAGGTATACCTGAGCTAGATGTTGAAAGCTAAGTATATACTTAATTGATCAGATCTTTAATACTATTCAGGCCATAATTTCCCACATTATCCTAAATTTCAAGATTCGTTCAAAAACACATTCGAAAAACTCTAATATAATTTTCTAAACGCAGTCATTACACCAAAATGGTCGAATACTTATTACAACACAAGCTCCTTATTCGCGCTTCCTTCAATTGCGTTTTCACTATTCGCGGATTTAAAAAATTCGACCTAATTCCTAGATTCGCGGCTAAAGATTTCTTTATTCGCGTATCTAATCAGTACATCTGTACATACACATTGATAAAAAGAATTCCAATATGTAGATATCCAACCGAATTTCCTTGGTTAACGCCAAATGTACTAATATAAAAGAAAAATAGACCTTATTACAACCAGACTTAAACCTAGAAACCTACCCCTTTAATACCATATATGTAAATTACAATTACATATTCACAGTTTCTGTACTCGCGGCATATTTACAGAGCATATACAAATCGAATAAAGAGCTTTTACGGTATTTGTATTCATAAGCGATTCCAGAATAGAAGAAAGTTATGTTTTCGATTTTTTTTTAAATGTAGTTAGGTATGTTTACGGTATTTTCCGTCCGTTGTATGTACCTATACCGGTTTAGAAGAAAAAAATCGGTGTAAAGGCTAACATATCTCGAGGTCTAGGTATTTCTACTACTGAAAACATTTTCTGGGCAACTTTTACAACAACATAACCTTTAAGCAAAAATATAATTCAGATGGAACTTCTATCTTACCTTAATACGAGCTTAATAGTTTAATAGTGGATACCAGGATGTTTGTTTTATCTCTAATTATTTACTGGTAGACTATGGGGCTATTCCAGATACTCACCGATAGTTAGGTGAGCTCACAGGCACAACCTGAGAGAATTTGCTAACACTGGCCCTAGCAATAGTAGTGCTTCACAGAATCTACTACCGGATCGTAATCGCGACTCACAGAGACAATCCGGTAATAACCTCAGTAGATTATGTCTATGGGCTATGTTGAAAGTCGAATCCTTCGTTGTATTCGACGATTTCAATAAAATCGGTGACTGGAGATCAGTGCTTGAAGGGACTAAAAGCACCAAGAGTGGATCTAGGGGATACGACAAGTCGTTTCAGTGACGGCGGCTCTGCGTTGCCCCGTCGCCTGGGTCAGATATGTAATTAGCCGCGGCCACAATAAGAGGGTTAACGTGTCGCGCCGCTTTTTCAAATTAGAGTTCTGACGCATCTTTAGATACGTATCGTTTCGCAAAGAACGAACTAATGATAATGACAGTAAAAAATCGCGTGATTAAGCCGTAAAATCGGGCTTTATCAACGCATATTCTAAAATAAGAGTATGCATCGAGTGTCAATCATAAAATTATTAAAGCCGAAGCCCAGTATACTCCTAATTAGCATTCAACAGCTGTGCCAAGGATACGATTGGCAGCATACCTTCTTTACCCCGGTGACCCACTCGTTGACACATTATCACGGATCCGCATACCATAACTACCAAGTTATACGGAGTTTTAATGTGTAGTGGGATTATATTAACATATTAATGAAACCCTAAAATGCTCTATGGTATTTGGTTCTTCAAAACATGAGCAAGCCAGAGAGTACTTATTTAATTTCATATATTGTTAATTCTTATTCTCCATTATCCAGAGGTTTCGACATCGTAGAGGGTTGAAAACTGCGGTGTCTAGATCATTTCATGAGAAATTCATAAAATGAGGTGATACTGCCGGATATCAATCTCAGGAAAGCTAACTAATTACCGCGGCAATTAGTCTGCACCACGGTTCTATGTTTTTTTTTGCTTCGCTGCAATCCAGCTGAAATGTCTAAGTAATGATAAAAGTAAAGTGGGAGAGAGCAGAGTCTAAAACCTGCCACTGTTTATCAAATGAGTCAGATAAAGAACTTAATTTATTTCAGAACTTGAAGATTTTTGTTGAATTTTTTGTATTTGCTTGAAGTTTTTTTTTTATGATTGGAGGATTACTGATGGCCCGAAGGCCTTTCCAGTTTCACCAGGACAGGTGGGTGAGCACGGGTTCGGCCAGAAGAGGTGGGATTTGCTAACAGCTGCCCGAGCGCCTCGGAGGCGTTGCTTCGCGAATGAACCTACTACCGCGACCCGCTGAGAAGATCCGGCGAGAAACTCAGCGGGCTGATGCATGGGTTAGGTTGCACATCGAACTCTTTGCCGAGTTCGACGAGTACGGTTCTGGGGTATTTGCGTGAAGTTCAACGTGTTAGACACATCTAAACCCTCCGAGGTATTAAAAGCGATAAGTCTAAGTACTATATTAATAACTATTAAGATTACTAAGAACGAATATCCCCAAAAAGCTATCCTTGAAAAAAAAACCGATAATCTTTTTCTTTTATCATAAATTTCGTGACAAAGTTCAAAGACCTTTCAAATGCAGTCACGCCAAAATTTATTTTAAGGTTAATTCACCAATTTGTAGTGTTGTATCGAGGCCGTTATAAGCGTCTTATTTGTAAACACATTTCGAATGCAGACTTCAAATAGAAGTTTAATATAACTGTTACTTGTGAATGAATGATGTTCTAAATTAAAAAAAAACTGCTTCGTGAAAATTATTATAGTAAGAAAAAAAAACCAGTTTTTTTGTCATAAATATATAGGTTGATTGACTTAGTGATTTTTTTTCTTATTCTAGAAACAGACCTGGTACTTCGTTTTCATAAAATCCATAGACAATATGACTTCATTTCCTGTTGTAGATACATCTTGTAAACTGAGGAAAATCTTAATTACGAAGTTAAAAAAGACTGTCCTACCTTTCACCGTGATCTCTAATGGTGACAAAGAAGAAAAAAATACGAGTTATAACTACTTATCCAAATCCTAATTTACTCTTGTCGATGTAACATTTAAAATTGTTAGTTCTTTTCAAAGGATGTTTGACTTTTAGTAGTCTCTTAAATTGATGCAATGCAGTGAATTTTTTTCAATATTTAATTACCCGAAACTTGAATTAAAATCAATATATATTGAATTAAATTCAGTCGCTGTCACCCAGTTACTATCACAAAAGGACTCTTTATAACCTTTGTATACACGGGCTCCCATTTAAATTTTACACGAAATTCATTCAACACATAACCTACTAGCGACCCGCCCTCGCTTCGCTTCGGAAACATTAAAAGACACATGAAAGCAAAAAAAAAAAAAAAATTTTTTTAAAAAAAGTAGCCTTTGTTCATCAGGGACAATGTCGGCTTCTAATGGAAAAAGAATTTTTTCAAATCGGTCCAGTAGTTTCGGAGCCTATTCGAAACAAACAAACAAACAAATCTTTCCTCTTTATAATATTATTATCAACACATAACCTAAAACAAAATCAATAATTAAATCGAACGGAAGTGAAACAAAAAATTTCACAATCCGGACATGGCGACGATGCAAATGTGAGAGCGCGGGCCGCATGCCCGATAGCTACCACCCTTATTGCATAAGTCACCGCCAATATAACACGCGGACTCTTTGCTAATTCAAAAAGATTTTCACTTTTCGTCGTAATGATGTAAGATGTTATTCTTTTTGTCTTGTTGCTGTTACCAATGATGGTGAAGTAATTGAATTAATTTTAACAGTTCAATTAAATTAAGCGGTCCTAGAGCCCATTAAACCTTCAAACCAGACTTCAAACTAATCCAATTGTACAAATTAAGAGACGCACTAACTTTGCATTACACATTTCAATATTTTAATATATTTTGATATTATAATAACTACAAGTGCGTTTATCATTTTAATTTACTGTCTCTTTGGTTTACAGGATGTATACACCATTCCCGAACATGAAAACAGTCGGTAGTGCCTAACTAGGCAAAAGCTAATAATAATAACTATTGATTACTACTACAAGAGGCGAGCTGAGATCTTCTATTCTCGTCCAGAGCGTATTTACTCGAGGCCAAAAGGGCCATAACCCAGGGTAGCTGGCTCTGAGGGGCGGCACAACTGACGCAAGCCGCACATCCTTGCGCGGGTTTTGTTTCGGCTTTATGAGCCGGAAATTAAAATAATAATAAAAACTACTTAATTAACAAAACTCGTTTTCTTTTAAGGTTAACAGATTATTAATAGTATTTTAGTATTTTCATTCATTACCATCATTCTCAGTTCACAACAAAACACTGCAGGATTTTTATTAGGTACATACACATATTTTTTTTCTAATCACTTACCTACAGAACGGCAAACCTTTTAGGCACAGCGCATTGAATCATAAGATACTCTACTAATCGAAACAGACAACAATAAAACTTGTATTGGCCGACATTGATCTATTATTGTTAAGAAATCCCTATACCTACTATCAGTATATTTAATTAATAAGCCAATTACATTATAAACATCTTCAGAAATCCATCGTTACGTCATGATTGCGTCCAAATTCAAGCGACTTCGCGTTGACGTCAATATCTGCATATTACCAAATACTAATTGTAAACAATGGGAATACGTTAACAGAATGATCCTCGAAAACGTGCCACTTCATTTGTATGTACGCTGAGACGAGTGAGAGCATTACAAAGATACACATAGAATTGTAATCGATCTATTCGATGATTTATTTCGTTCGCACATTTGTAAGATGGGTCGGTGAGGTTTTTTAGTTTGTAAATAAAAATATTTGTGAATTTTATTAATAATTTTTTTTTGCTATACTTCAGATCAAACCCTGAAGACCGACCACGTTCACTAAGCGCCCGTTGAATTAGTGATGTGACCATAGAACTTGAAGGGTTAATGAAGTCTTCGTGGCTTAAAGGCTCCATATACATTTTATTGTTCAAATACCTTGTTCGAATCCCGCAGATTTTTCTAATAAAATACGTACCTAACACATCATCATGATTGACTGAATGACTTCAACAATAAAGCAATAACATCGTCTACTAAAAATCAAACCGGCAAAATATATAATTTGCGCTATCATGGGTACCACCACCTATTTCTGCCGCGAAGTGGGTACTGATGCGTAAGAACAATATATACTTACCTATATATCGTCACCGGGATGTCAGTGAATCCACAGAAGATAGGAAAATAAACTAGACTAGATCTATGTTTAACTAATTAGAATCAATTTAATCTCTAGGTATTTGTGTAATGTTCTGTGTTCGTAATATTTTAATTAATACTAGTGATCCCGCAGTAGTCGAAATTCGACTATAATTAATTGAAATTGTAAGTTTGTACACTATTATGATTCTATTTTCAAAGATTCGATAATCACAAATTTCGCCAAGACTACACTATAGAAAAATATTAATAAAGACAAACAATATTTAATCTATTCTCAATTTGACCACAGACGTCAAGAACAAAAGTTTGACAATAAATAAATATGTAGTATGCATGCGTGTGTGCGTCAAATACATGGAAGTGTGTGTAATGTTTTTTTTATTAATTTAATGTATTTTTAGGCATAATTTAAAAAAATATTAACATTCCGCACTCCTCTATATTCTCTCTATGTTGCAAATTTCCTCCGTCCGCGCAATTTTCGTAAAAAAGGATACAAAGTTTTTCCTTCACTTATTAATAATATAGATTATTGATATATAATATATTGAATATTTTACTGCGGAAATACGTAACTCTCATCGAGCAGGACTTTCTTTATACGAAAATAAATAGTTCGCCAACTTGCCAAGTACGGTTGCAATTTGCATTCCGAGCACGTGTGTCGCCCGCGTGCCTTGCCACCCGAAGGACCACATATATAAACCAAGCCCATTGAAAAATTTAATCATTGTTGCACCATTAACCGGCCGGGTCGAACGTTTAATTAACCTTATCTAATGACAAAGTGATTAACGAAAATGAATCGCGTGTGCATCCTCTTAGCTTCGGTCGCCATCGCGACCTCCTACTCCATTAAGGACAACGAAATCGAACTGCCGAGGCTACGGACGAGTGATGATTTGCTGGATAGTGTTATCAGTGATTGTTTCGAAGCCGGATCGCCCATGGCATGCCTCAAAGTGAAAGTTCTATCATATCTGGACGACAAAGTCGGTGTTGGATCGGAATCGGGGAGGGCATTGGACGAGACAAACATCGACAAAGTCATCTATGATCGGGTGGCGAGGATTTTGGACACCAACGAATTCAAGTTTAAACTGCCGGAGTTTATGTTCCAAAACGCGCAGGTCTCTTACAGAGCCGACAGGGGATTCGATATTGAATTCCCTGAGAACAACGAGAACGGTGAAGGTATTAGAAATAATATTAACTGAAGACAAATCGTTACGAGAATTTCTTTAACTTTAAATTTTACTGTTGCAGCTCGCGGCCTCTTAAAGAAGAAGCTCCTGCTTCCCGTCCTGCTGCTCTTGAAGCTCAAGATGAAAGCTATCATGCCGATCCTGGTTTCGATCATCGGCATCAAAGCTATCAAAGCTCTGATCCTCAGTAAGCTGGCCATCACTTTGGTCGTTGGATTCTTGGTTTACAATCTTCTCTTGAAGAAAGGAGGTATACATAAAAACGACCACTAGCATTATTTAAATTTTGTGTAACATAAGACTAATGTGATTTATCTGTTTAGGAATGCCAATGATGATGGCTCCGACTGAAGCCCCTCCTGCGCCTCAGTACGGCCCGCCGGCATCTCAATACGGGCCTCCAGCTTCGACCCCAGCAGCGCCCCAGGATTCTTACAGCCCACAATGGGAGCCTGCAAGCTCTGGACCTTATGCCAGAGTATGGGACCCCTCGCAGCTGGCTTATAGCTCATACTATCCCGGTGACTCAAGTTCCTCTGCATCAGCGAACCAATCGCCAAGCTACTCGAACGTCGCCTCCATCTCATCATCATCATCATCATCATCAGCTCCCACCTATTAATCCAAATACCTCATTTAAAATACCCATCGGACTGTCTTGTACATAGCACGCACGTAACTAGGATAATTAGTTTATTTATTTGACGATTATTTATTATTATTTATTGAACACAAATAAATAAAAAAACTGTTGTCTTTTTAATAATCGAATTATTTATCGTATAAACCCTATTAACTGCTCATCCGTCCATAGCACAAGTTTGAAAAATGATTGAAACGTAATTGGTCAAACTATACAAACTGGCGTGTGACCGTAAATTTAAATGAGAATAACACTAAATAAGATAAAAAAAATATTGCTTAGATAGGTGGATGAGCTCACAGCCCACCTGGTGTTAAGTGGTTACTGGAGCCCATAGACATCTACAATGTAAATGCGCCACCCACCTTGAGATATAAGTTCTAAGGTCTCAAGTATAGTTACAACGGCTGCATCACCCTTCAAATCGAAACGCATTACTGCTTCACGTCCGAAAATAGGCAGGGTGGTGGTACCTACCCGCGCGGACTCACAACAGGTCCTACCACCAGTAAAATATAGAATATAATAAAAACGCGCTTTTAGAGACAAGGTCGGCGAAGTGGACAAATAACTCTATTCTAGATCAGCTTCGCATCTGAATCAGGCTCTCATCAATCTACTACCAGAGGATCTTCAGGTATTTCGGTCACATTGCCCGCCGACCATCAGATAGCTTGGACAAAGTGATCGTGACGGGCAAAGTAGAATGAAAGAGGCCCCGCGGCCGATCACCTAGCCGTTGGTGTGGCCAAATAACCACCCTAACTGGGCTGACAATCGTAGCCGCCCTACGAGAAGCTGACGACCGGACGAGGTGGAAACAGCTCACGAGACAGGCCAAGCTTAAGTTTCAGGGACACGACCTTCAGTAATGAAGAAAGCAACGAAGAAGAAGAGCTAAAAATAGAAAAAAAAAAGTCAATAAATAATAAAAGTCATTAATTTTTTTTTTTGTAAAAATGCTTGGTAGGTATCAATAATATATCAAATACATCCGTATCGATATTTACGATCACGGCACGGTATTCCACTTTCACATAGCACGTAGTATCTACATAACAATATTTAGTATTCATAAAGGAAAATCATATGTGAAGCCGACCTAAAATGAACTCCATGAATATTGGGGTCGGTTTTCACTCCTTTTTTGTAAATGTGTCGATAATTTCACATTCCATTTATACATAGATTCACGCGCAACGCCCGATGCTCCAAAGAGGAAGCTTCGTAAAGTCCTTAGAGGCCAAAATGATTTACACAAATATATGTTTTATTGTCACCAGTCAGAAACTTGACTCTCGCTTGTCTAGTTAGGTTAGCTTTATACTCTGACCGGGTTCTGACCCCGGACAGAGATCGGACGTCGGGTGTGAGAGTGCAGGGAAGTTGTTTAGTGCGGTAGAGCCCTAAAAATATCCTCGGACCCGCCATCAAGTCCCACATAGACCGCGCGCCCCGTAGGCGAAGTGACCTCGTAAGAGGTTCGGCCCCAGGCCTAAAAAAAAAAGAAAAAGCTTTGTACGAGCGATGGCTTCATTCAACACTACTGAATTTCGGCCATAAGTAATTCACGTTATGCCTTAAAAATATTTGTATTTAAATCCTGTCAAAGCGAGTCAATTAATATCTAATTTTGCCACTTAAGCCTTATAAACTTAGGATCTATATTAATATACTATATGCATTGTGATTTCCCGATCTTCGAACATCTAAAGCAAAAAGAGGACGCATAATTTGTAGCAAAAACGCTAATGACTTGTTTTATCTTGAAGTGGTTAATATTATATATGTACACCAAATATATTATACCTAACTATACTTGAGACCTTAGAACTTATATCTCAAGATGGGTGGCGAATTTACGTTGTAGATGTCTATGGGCTCCAGTAACCACTTAACACCAGGTGGGCTGTGAGCTCGTCCACCCATCTAGGCAATAAAAAAATAATAATAAAAGTGGCACTGCTGACAACCAACCTGAGACGAATTAGAAGTCTTGATTGCATAGAAGTTTATTTTACTAAGCCTTTAAGCACATTATTGGCACGCACCGTTCGCGGGGCACAGCATACCTTACCAGCAGCGATATGCGTGGTATTGGTTTTAGATATCAGAAACCGACTCTATATTCAAAGTTTACCGAGACCTATTGGTAGTCAGATTTATCTGTGACGAAATAAAGGCTCTGTCCGTACCGTGATACTCCTCGAGTTCTTCGTGACGTAAGAGAATATACTGTCAAGTCCATTTTCAAATTATTAAAACAAGGATTAACTCAATTGAATCGCATTTCTCTTCCATCTTTTCCGTTTTATTTGTGAAGTCGCTAGCCGGAAGTACCTAATCATACGTAAATTCCGAATCTTCAGCCTAGCTTTTGAATTTTTTTATATACCTAACCGAGTATGAACACTGAGCATTGATTGAAGTTATAAATATATGATATTAGCGAAGTCGTATGGCCATTGTCAGTGCAATCACAGTTCATTCTCGTCCATATATCACCCGGACAAGTCACTTTGTTTCCCTATCTATTCGCTGGTAAGTTATTAAATGTATATATAGCTATTCCAGCTACGCTCTGGCTAGTGGTTGACCTCACGGGGTTCAATCAGAGAGAGCGTGCTAGCACTGGTCCTAGCAAGAGCAGTGTTTCGCAGAACCTACCGCACCAAATCGGAAACGCGACCCACTGAAAAGAACCGGCGAGAAACTCAGTGGGTTGTGTCTATGGGCTAGTCCGCAAGTCAAATTCTTCGTAGTAATCGAACAGTTCGACGAGGACGGTGACGGCCTAGGTCAGATATGTATTTAGTGGCGGCCACGACAAGAGAGTTATCGGACCTTAAATAATAAAGATGTGTGGAGGAAATCACGGAGACACATATTTTTTTATTGCTTAGATGAGTGGACGAGCTCACAGCCCACCTGGTGTTAAGTGGTTACTGGAGCCCATAGACATCTCCAACGTAAATGCGCCACCCACCTTGAGATGTAAGTTCTAAGGTCTCAAGTATAGTTACAACGGCTGCCCCATCCTTCAAACCGAAACGCATTACTGCTTCACGGCAGAAATAGGCGGGGTGGTGGTACCTACTCGTGCGGACTCACAAGAGGTCCTACCACCAGTAAAAATTGTGTTGGGAAACTCAAAATGAGGAACGATTTCGTGTTAAATTTCTTTATTTCAGTTCATTAATATTATATCAGGTAAACGGGCGTTACATTCGATATACATACTTCATAATAATATGATAATGTGGAAAAGTGGAAAAATACTAGCTTGTAGGATATAAATCTGCTAATTATTGTCACGAGTGGATGTTGATTCTGTGCAAGAGCACTGTTCAAATACAAAAAACAATACGAGTCTTAAAAACTTACTCTATCAGTTTTTAGTTCAAATGTGCATCATCTCTCATAATTTGAATACAGGGCTTATTATATTAAAATTACTCAATGAACCTTTTAAATTTTACCCATTTTTTTTCTCGATCGTGTTAAATTTCTGGTAGCTATTTTTATTATATTATTTTGCAATTTATCATATTATAATATAAGCAGTTATTAAATTTAATCAAATTGCATTAACATGTGATGCACTTCTGACCTGATATTTAGCTAATTTACTTTCGCAGAAGTAAAAAGCTATTAATGACTTAAGATTTCATATTCTTAATCACCGTATTACAACATTTCGTGTTTCATACTTATCTCAATACAAGATCATCTATTCTAGTGAAGTATAACAATATCATGTATTAATATATTGTACTCTAAGGTGCAACAGCGTAATAACTTTAAAAAAGGGATTCAATATCTAATTAGTTACATAGGTATAAAGTTTTGTAAATAGGTCAATATGCAAATTAAAAATGAGGAAATATTCCATTAAATATGCGAAAATTGTGAAAAATAATAATTGTCGAATAAGGCGATATCGATACCTTTATCTGAGATAATTATTTATTCCACAGACTGAACGAAGAACTGAATGAACGAAGTCAATATCTCAATTGCAATGTAATTATGATTTTTTTTCATTCATCTGTCTATGCAATAAATAATAATAAAAAAACTGACATCAAATAGAAATGTCAAAACGTTAGTCCGAAAAAGCGAACACTTTTCCATTAATTACTTTTAATAATTAGACAGAACAACTTCCTAACAGAGGGCTTTAGTCTGTATTTAGATATTACCCACCCACTATAACTTCGAACAGGTACTTGCGGAACACCCTGTATACAAGCCAAGAAAAAACTCCAGTCTCTTCATCGATAAGCGAAGACGAAAAAGTACAACATTTTATTCAATATATATCTACAGGTTTTTAATGCTACAAGGCAATATTATAGATAACAAATCATTCGTTATGTGTGTATTAAATGATGCTATACCCAAAATACTAATAATAAATATAGGCTTTGAAGTAAAGTATAAGAGAAATAACTGAATGTATAATGTTACGAGGTATGACTATCTACAGATGGGAAAGTTAAAGCTATTATTTCACAGCCTTCGACTAAGGAGTGCTCCAATATACATTTTTATGTAATCTATTTAAAGAATCTCATTTGATTTTAGTGCATAAAGTGCTATAAAAGGTGGAGATTAAAGTTAAGACATTTCTTTAGCAAGTGCACATTGAATACATAACGACAATATTTATATATAATATACGTGTGTAATAATATATGTACATTCAGTGTCTTAATCTAAGTATCCACCATGGTATGCATAATATTATGTTCCGAACAATTTAAGTAGAGGGAACTTTTCGTCTTAGCCCCAACAAACAGAATCTGATGGATTATCGTGTAAAGCCGGGTATCCACTAAACGCAATTTTTTTTTTCGTGTTGAAAGTGGAGACGCTTCCTCAACTCGAGGCACGCCGCGATACGAGGCAAATTCGTCGCCGCGAACCGAGCCATATTTTGTCGGTTTCTTTGCCGTGCTCAAAGGAGCCTCACTCCGAGCCAAATATATTAAGTGTAAGTATAATCTATGGTCCGAGCCGTGCATTTGCTGAAGACGGGCGTGTCCCCTCGGATCGCAATGGACAACGCGACTGCTATTAACCTGATAAAATTATATGAGCGCTCACTTTCATGTCGCGCTCTATTCCGGAATAATTATTTTATCCACAATCGTATCCTCTTTTGTACAGCATTTTGTTGCTCCCTCTTTTTTATTATTATTTTAAGCAACAGCTACTTGACGCGCGTCTGCTGCCATCGCGTTTTGGCTTTAAACCTTAAGTGTATAATCTATGCTTTAAACTGCCGGATCAAGCTGAGGCGACTCGCCTCTAGTGGACACCCGGCTTAAGGTGTATTGATTACGCTTAAATCTCGACATTAGATACCAATTATAGTCTTAAAATTTTCGTAAATAACGTTGCTTATAAGAACGCTGCACACGGTTCAAAATATTATATATTGGATAATTTATAAATTTTTTATATTTTCACCTTGAACCCTTAGCTTTAGAATTTTTTTTAACGTATTTTTATTTTTATTTTATTTCGATCGATAATAAAATGCATTCAATAAGTGATTAACGGCAACGATACATTTCAATAGATATTTTTTTATTGGATACGTACATATTTATTTATCCATATTGAAATATTACAAATCTTAATAACTATTTCAGTAAATAAATCTATTACACCTAATAAATCTCTTGCATATAGCGTTTATTGTCTTGATTAACGGTGATATTACAACTTTACTATTTATTAGATCCAAGGAAATATATGAGTATAAGAATCGGTAATATCATAAACTTTTTTTTAACAATGAAGCGTATCTGCTTTTCAGGATTCACCTATAAGATTAAAACCTAAAGGTCGATACTAAATAAAAAATGTTCTTCGTCGTCTTTGATTCCAAAAGATGAACAAATTTTGAAATATTGAGACGACAAAAATACGTCTCAAAACTGTTTTAGGTTTTGAAGAGGAAACCGCGTCAGTATGTAATACAGATAGCCGTAAAAGTTTAAAGCTGAATATTTAGTTTTAATTCATACTTTTCATCTTTCTAAGCAGATTTTTAAACTTTATTGTTACATTCGAAATATATTTTAATAATTTATATCAACATTTGGACTTATACGATTCAGTAACTTACAATTTACTTTAAGTAAATCAAATATAAAACTCAAAAAAAACATTAAGAGAACATGAAATAAAATTCGTGGTACCGTTACGTTTTTCTATCGATTGATAATATTAAAACAATTCATTGTACTTACCCACGTTCTTATTAATTAAATGTCTACAATTCAAGAATTATTTATATTTTATCGTATGATTGAATGTCGGATAAGGCACCGGGGTATCTACACGATTCACGAGTGAACTAAAGAGGTTCCCATCCAAATTCCAATGACAAGCAATAGGCCAGAGGTGCGTAAACTTTTTTCGACTTCGACCTATTTAGTAGAGTTTTTTTGGCGAACCCCTGGATAGTGTAGATAAATATATTAGTGTGGTGGCGAGTGTAGGTAGATACATATATTACAAGCTGCTAAAGCGACTACGAAATATAAAAATTGGCACCCCCCAACAACTTTCTGGCGTCCCCTACAGGGATCTCGACCCCTAGTTTGCGCATTACTCCAGTAAGCAATCTAAATGTAATAACGAAACAATACGAAAAATTATATACAGTAATCTCTAATACGAGAATAAGAATCAATTTCGAGAATTTATGTTCCGGTAACTAACCTTTAAGCCAAGTCTTATTTCTTCTTATTTTCTGTTAAATGAAAAATGATATGCCGCCAAATAAGATGAACTTGATTAATTTGAGACTAATAAATTGAGGTGAAATTAAGTCACAGTAAACTTGGGTTACTTACTGAAGCCTTTTTAGTGGACTTTTTGGAAGAACCCGAAAAGCTACTTCCAGCTGCTTAGCTTCTTTTTCCCAAATTTGTGCACTTTCGCAGATGCTAAGCAGTTAATAAACGGCAAGCAAAAACCAAATAAATTATATTCGTGTGAAATTTTTCGAGACAATCTCTATCTCGCTGACATCAACTTACATCCAGGACAAAATGTAATTCATTAGACTAAAATTAGCTTTTAAATATAAAGCATCGATTACGCTCTACACCATCTATTCACATCACTACAAGGGAGGGAGAAAAAAGAAAAAAAAAGCAAAATAAAAACATTCCTCTATTTAATAAATAAAAGTAAACAAATGCTGGGTGAGGAGAAACAAAATCGTTCAAAGGTGAACAAAAATTTGGCTTGCGTCATGAACACACGTTTTTAACACTAGAAAAAAAAAACCCACGAATGCGTCTTCAAATGCTAAAATATAAACAGCAATGTATTATTATTCATTGGGAAATATTTTTTGTTACGGAAAACGGTTAGTTTTCAACTTAATACGGAACTTTTTCGTAGTCGCACCTAGACATAATTAAACCTACTTAAACGGTTAAGTCTCGCAGTTTTTTATTTTTCTATAACTGGGAACAAATCATGGACGACGGCCATCCGACACCAATTTAGGATGCCCTGCGTTATGGGTAGCAGAGACTGATAAACATACTTATATACACATGTATCAACATATTCATATATAGATAATAAATAAAAACACGTGTGACACTCGGGGACTGCCGCGGTAAAGCTATTGCAAAGCATTTTTTATCAACTTATGCATTAGAATTAGACAATAATAATTTAATATTAAAACAATAATAAAAATAGGACCACGCTATATTTATAAACATTAAATGTCCCCTTCACACTCATAAGCTAGACCCCGTGAGAGAGAGATGGGCAGACTTTTCATGATGCTCATGCAGTGCGACGTCACGCCGCGCGCTTATTCATAAACACTACACAAGCGCAACGTGTGAATGTGTTGAACGCGAGATACATGGTAGGCGGAGTGGGGGTGTCAGGTTATTATCGTTACGGAATTTCTTGATTCAGTCGCCGCGCTCAAAGCCCGCGATAAAAGCTATGCAATAGCTTAATAAACACAACAAAGAGTAAAGCTATCTATCATACGAATGTTTGTTTGTATATTTAGGTTGCTTAATTTAAATATGGTTTGAAAATGTGCAGTTTGCAATGACAACGCGTACTACCAGAACACTCAGCGGGTCGCGATTCCGATCCGGTAGTAGATTCATTCGCGAAGCAGCTACTCTTGAGTTTTTAGATCTCTTTTGGAGGTGCTCGGGTATCTGTTAGAAAGTCCCACCCCTCCTGACTGAGCCTTTGATCGACTACCTTATCTGGTTAAATCGAAAAGGTCTCCGAGCTACCAGTTAACCATAAACTTAAAATTTTTTTACCAGTCACCTAGTTCCTACACTATCAGTTTATGTTATTTATCAATGTTAACTTCAGTTCCCTTCTATAAATATAGTTTAATTTTAGCATTTGTAACGCATTACACAATTAAACAATAAAAAGAACCCGTCATAATCGACTAAACTGTTGTTTACAATATCGATATCGATATGAATTGATGGTAGTTTGAAGAATCGATTTTTTTTGGTTGTAGTAGAAACCGTAAACAAAATTATCGAATATATACGATTAATAGGATGAACTAAAGAGATCGAATTTTAATTTTGTTATACATAATAATATATCGTCCATAAATTTAGTTTAGCATCACGTATGTACTATGTTACTAAATACTTAACAATGCAACAAATTTATATCGATATCGATAAAATGACTTTCTAAATTAATGTTACGTTTACATAAAAAGTTATTTTAAATTAATTCAAACAATTCACCAACAGAATATTAGTCGCCTCAGTCTGTTAAATCTACAATACGATAAACAATATTCTTTCGATATCAAAATTTGGATAAGTCAGAATACTAAATAAAATCACGTCCAATACTTGATTTCAGATTACTATTGCACTCAAGAATATAGGATAGTTAGCATATTTTTAATTAGTAAAGTAATCAATTTTACGGCAAAGATTAACATAATTTTACTTAAACTTTTAAAATTGTAACAAATTTATAAAACACTTAAACAATGACATGTTTCAAGATAAATTTGGCGATACTACAGTATTTAAATTTTAATCAAAAAATATTTTGAAGCTAGTTAAATTGCTTACTAACTCGGATTAACTGTTTTTTGTTTCATGATAAATAACATTAAATTTAAACAATTTTTAATAAAAATCTTTATCAGACATTCTAATTTGACAATTTTTAGCAAAAATACAAATAAATATAATCTGATAAAATCAACATGAATACATTAATGTAAAATTTTACGTAGTAAGATAATAAGCTGTGTTACTACGTAAATAATGACCATTTTCAGTTTTCTGACAAACATGAACTAATTATTAATTTAGTAAGTATTAATTTAGACTCACAATGGTAAGGCAAAAGTTTTGCTTGTCATTTTGTAGTGTCAGTCTGGGCTTAAGAAACGAAATTCGAAACGTTGTCATGATTGAAGAAATAAATATTCAATTATTGAGAAAATTTTGAACAGAAATTTGTTTAAATCAAAGGCACTGATAAAACATTTTAAATAATTAAATGTTGCATTCCTTACTTTTAATTAAAACGAAAATAATTACGATTATACATTCCTTATCTCATAACCAAGGTACATTTTGAAAGCATAACGAAATAAGATTGATTTTTATTCATTATGCAATTGCAATTACTTGAAACAAACAAGAACAACCATACTTAAAAAATTATATATACGTAACATACTAATGTACATTTTATTAATTTGGTTTTAGATGCAGTTTCCGTTACAAAGGTTTTTCTATGTTGATATTTTTATACACAACATAACGTTCAGCATTTTCTGTCTAAAAAGTATTTGAATATAATCTATTTTAATATCTTTCATCATTTTTGTCAATCATAAATTATTCTAGTAAAAAAAAAATACAAATTACTAATTGTCATTATTACATGCAAGTTAACCATTGTATCAATAAACTTTATAAAAACTTAAAACATATCAATGATTCCACTTTAATCATACAACATCTCACAATCTTCACACGCAACTCTCAAATAATGCAGTGTCTCAAAACTGCACTCGATTTTACACTTTCACAATTCGCGATATAAGTCACAAATTGCATTACGTTGATCTTCAAACACAATAACAATATTTCTCAATAATTCCAACTATCGATATCAACTGGAAACACTTTATTGTACGTCACAAATTTCACTGCACCAACGATTCGGACACCGAGCACAGTGAGTCTCAATGTTTGTAATAATCTTTGAAACACACCAAGCGAAATTGCACTTTGACAGCTTTGTATCAGGGTACAAATTCCAGCGGCCCAGAGTTCAGAGGCCGAACCAATCGGCGGGCAGGGTCCAGCGGTAGTTGGCGTCCGTGAACATGTGCTAGATGCTCTTCCATAAGTCCATGGTGACGACGAGCGGACACAACCAGCTGAAGGTGATCCCCGACACGATGCCGGTGACGAGCATGGCGCCGCCCACCATGCCCGCAGTGGACGCGTGCTCCGGGGACACCGTGCTGCAACACAACACAGATCACACTCGCATTCCGCTTACGACATTACTTACAGATAAATTTAATTTTTTTTTTATTGCTTAGACCGGTGGACCACCCGGTGTTAAATGGTTACCGGAGCCCATAGTCATCTACAACGTAAATGCGCCACCCACGCTGAGATATAAGTTCTAAGGTCTTAAGTATAGTTACGACGGCTGCCCCACTCTTCAAACCGAAACGGATTACTGCTTCACGACAGAAGTAGGCAGGGCGGTGGTACCTACCCGTATGGATTCACAAGAGGTCCTACCACCAGTAATTACGCAAATTATAATTTTGTGGGTTTGATTTTTATTACACGAGTTCCCCTGCACTCCGCTAGGGGTCTGAACTTACCCGCTGACGTACATCATCCCCAGGCTGCTGCCGTGGCCCGAGCTCCAGCCGAACAGCACGGCGATGAGCCAGTAGGCCCAGTCCGCGCGGACGAGCACGGGCAGCGTGCGCGTCAGCGGCTTGTAGTTGCACACGAAGTACAGCGGGATGAACAGGAACCGTAGGGACGTGAACAGCGCCAGCCAACGTTTGTTTGGCTGGAAACAGACAATACAACATTAAATTATCTACACTATGTAACACCAGAAAATATCCTTTCATTTAATTTAAACCCTTTTTTTTTAAATTAACGCCATCTAGCGTTTGTACGTGGCGCAGTGTGGAGAATCCGATACCTTATTTTTTTAAGGTTCGCTCACTCGACACTGCATGTCGTGACTGTGCGTGATATTGTAAAGCTGAAGAGTTTGTTTGTTTGTTTGTTTTTGATTGTTTGAACGCGCTAATCTCAGGAACTACTGGTCCGATTTGAAAAATTCTTTCAGTGTTAGATAGCCCATTTATTGAGGAGAAGGCCTTCAGAAGGTTCAGGTTACACCGACCGTCAAGTGATAAAACGGTTTGAACAATACAATTGAGACTTCAACATTATGCCTCAAGATGTGTGGCCTCATCCACCTTGTAGAACCTATGGTCTCTGGTATAATATGTGTTTAATGAATATATTATAATATTAATAACTTTATTTGGAAGCATTAGTCCATAGTTGCAAAATAAAAATAATGGGAATTATCATTTTTAATGCAAGACAAGAAAAGTGGCAAGTGTGAGTAACATTTCAAAATCTTAACTAAATGAGCGATTTTTTTAAAAATAAATATATAAAAACATAAACAAGATCCTATTTGGTTTTTTTTTGCTTAGTTAGGTGAACGAGTTTACGATCCCCGTGGTGCTATGGTAGTTAGCAGAGACCATAGACATAAGCAACGTAATGTTGCCAGTGTTCTCAGTGTAGCCACCCACCTTGACAGGTGCCCCAGCCTTCAAATTGCTTCACGGCATAAATAGTCAGGGCAATGGTACCTTTTTTTACTTTTTTTATTGCTTAGATGGGTGGACGAGCTCACAGCCCACCTGGTGTTAACTGGAGCCCATAGACATCTGCAACGTAAATGCGGCACCCATCTTGAGACATAAGTTCGAAAGTCTCAAGTATAGTTACAACGGCTGCCCCACCCTTCAAACCGAAACGTATTACTGCTTCACGGCAGAAATAGGCAGGGCGGTGGCACCTACCCGGGCAGGTTCGCGAGACGCCCCACCACCGGCATGACGTGTATCCTCACAAATTGTAGCAGATACTGTAGATATTGTAGTAGATAGTAGTAGATACTCACAAATTGCCAGAGGCTGGCGGTGATGTTCCCCAGCATGGCGGTCACGTTGAACGTTATAAAGCACGTGATCGAAACGAAATTTTTACCGAGAAATCCCGGAGTCACTGGATCAATTTCTGGCGACAGAAAAAAAACAACAAATCTATACTAATAATATATAAATCTACTTTTTTTTCCCTACCTATGCTGATAGCCTTGAGAGGCTATTTCAGCTTCACCCTAACGTGTGTAGGTGAGCTCACGGGGCTCACCAGCCCACTGAGTTTCTCGCCGGATCTTCTCAGTGGGTCGCGTTTCCGATCCGCTGGTAGATTCTGCGAAGCATGGCTCTTGCTGGGGTTAGTGTTAGCAACGTCGTCAGGTTCGAGCCCCGTGAGCTCACCTACTAGTCAAGGTTCCGCTGATATAGCCTCCCAAGGCTATCAGCTTAGGTGGGAAAAAAAAGGGGCTCAAACCGGAGTGTTTGCTAACACTGACCCTAGCAAGAACAGTGCTTCGCAGAATCTACCGCCGGATCGGAAACGCGACTCACTGAGAAAATCCGGCGAGATACTCAGTGGGCTTATAAATCTACAGTAGTTTTTACGGATGTTCCATTATAACTACTGAACCGTGCATCCGATTGACTTGAAACTTGGTATCCATGTAGAAAATACATATGCTAAATGGATAGGCTAATATTTATATGAGTGTTGGACTCCCTACACCAGTTGCGGGTGTATTAATGATGAAAATCTTTGTGGGTTGAGAAATAATAATGTTAATTTCAAAGGCCCACCGAAGCGGACGGGCACAGCTAGTAATATTATATAACTATTCGCAGTGGATTTATGATTCACACTTGTACAACATTTGGACTAACTGATCACTCGAATCCATTAAACTTGACAGTTTTTCATGACTGTCACGGACTAGTTATGAATGGAATGATCGTTTCTTTAAGCGACTAATGATATGTTGATGATATATTACTCTCTACACTACAATTATTGGGAATTTATCGAAAATAACTGTACATTTCATTGATTGTATGGTGATTGCATACGTTGGAGTCCCATCGGTCTAGCAGATAGTGGCACTAGTGCTAACACCGGTATGAAGCGAGTTAGTTCTAATTCAAGACGGTTTAGTTTCGGAGCAATTCACATTATGCCTTCGAAATGAGGTAATAAATTTTATATATATATGATGATGAGCTTGATGGTTGGACGAGCTCAGGGCTTACCTGTTGGTAACCGGAGCCCATAGATATCTACAACGTAAATGCCGGCACCCACCTCGAGGCATGAGTTCTAAGGTCTCAGTTTTTACAGTAAATTTTTATATTATCTAGGAAGTCTATTATAACACAGTTCTACTCTCTAAGTCGAACCCTATGATTGTATGGGCAGGCTCGCGACATTGACCAGTGTGGGTGATCGCATTACACTTCATCTCCATACAACAAAGACTGCGAGAGCTTAGAATAGGCACACAGATAACGAATTAAGCATAAAAATATAGTTTGTCTCTTTCTAACTCACCCGAATGCAAGCCGGGGTAGATCGCGAGCGTCACAAAGAAGGTAACGAATATGTTGTAGAGCTGAACCCAGGATTGTGCGAAGATCGTTCCGTACGGTATGCTCCTCTTGTTCGGACTCGAATTCTGATCGGTGGCTGCGAGGGCAGGGTTCACTCGCATCGTCCTCTCTTGCAGAGTATCGTGATAACGATAAAACCTCTGTAATTAAATAATATCGATAAGAAAAACATTTCATGATTGAGACTCATGTCAAATTGAATACGAACATGGAATCGTTGGTCTAAAAAAAAAAAATTATTTGTCACTGTCACTTTTTGGCGGGAACGCGAGAAGCAAACTTTTGTCAATTGTATTTATTTTGTTAATTTAGTTTTTCTTCGAGTAAATTGTGAGATTCGACGTCTGGGTGCATTGTTGTAATCTTTGTTCTGGTCTCGTCTTTAACACAGGAAACACCTATTTGGAAATGTGAAAGATCCTTTCAATTACGGAGGGAAAAATTTATATGTACTTTACGATTTAATATATTTCTTTGGTATAAAACCTTTACTTCTTCGACTGATATTCATTTATGTAAAGCACTTTCCATATCTTTTAATTGACTATAATTGATTCATAACCCAACTGTGTTAGTACCACCATACGGTAGACACAACGAGATCAAGAAATTCCTAGATTTAAAGAGGTAATTTTGAAGGGATTTCATGACCTGGTAACTAAGACCTTTAGGTCAAGTCTTATTTTAATTTTAATGAAAACTTTCTTGTATGAAAAATGATAATAATATTATGAAATGAAATAAAGTTGATTAATATGAAACAGCATGAAATCGAAGTGAAATGAAAACGGAATGTAATGAATTGAAATGAGATGTTATGAGATGAAATATAATCTCAGTAAAATGGAGGTCATTTACTGAGACGTTTTTCAGTGGACTTTTTGAAGGATCCCAAGAAGTTACGTCCAGCGGCTTTGTTTTATTTTGCCACATTTATGCACTTTCACAGATACTAAGCAGTTAATAAACCACCCTTATTACACATTTAAACCTGAAGAAACACTAAATAGAGAAAATAAAACGTCGCGTTCCCGCCAAAAATACTTAAAGAGGTAATAAATAAGTCCTTAACCAATTAAAATTCATGGTCACACTTGTCGCGGGTAGCCATCATACAACGCAACATATTTGACAGATGCCTGAATCTCGCTTACCACATTTTCAAGATAAGCTCGCATATATATATACAAGTTCCGAACAACAACATTCGGACCGTCGGTCTACCTAGCAATATCACCAGCTCGGTGGAAGATCTTTGCTTTCGTCGTAAACCTACACACTAATCAGAGTAAGTATTTGTTACTTACATTAAGCGGCAATGCGAAATACGTGTCGAAACATATGAGAAGAACGAACATTCCAGCGATGAAGTAATATATGGCGGATGTACGTATGTTGCCGAACATGTCCGAGGCCCACTGCAGTATCGCGACCAGCGTCCCGCATATGTTCGAGCCCAGGACCACGGCACCGGTATACTTGGGCGGGAGCTTCGCGGCCAGACCGTAAACTGAATTTTGGAACACCGCGTTGAATGCTGAAAGAATATGATTCGATTATTTTTTTTACTTTCTGTTATGAGCCCTTTGAGCGCAAACCGTGGATAAATCGACTGTCTATTAATGCGTATAAATTGCGAAGCGTCGGAAAAGACTATTTGGCCGTTTATACCTGTACGAACGTGTCGTTTTTATGAAGTTCATAAGATTAATAAATAAAATTTTGCTGTAAATTTCGCGTTGATTTTAGTACTTTTTTTAAGTTAAAGTATTTTTAAATAAGGTACTTTTTTTTCTAAAATCCTTAAGGCGATTTCGGCGACATATGTGTAAGTAATCTCAGCACTAAAAGGGTTAAACGAATACCGGCATTTAAAGACGTCGAAACGTGAATGTTGCCAGTAATTGCCGATTCGACGAACGCAACGCGATAGTAGATTATGTTTATTGTCTCAGAGAAGGTTGTTGCCCCACTTCGAGAACACTGCTGCGTGGCACAAGAACCCTCTTGTCGTGACCGCTTTAAATTATACCCAGACGACGACGCAACACGCAGCCGGCATCGCCCTAAGCAGTTTGAATCCTCCCCCGATCTTAGTGCTTTTAAGTATTCCTAGCATAACCCACAGACACAATCGACTTTTTTTTTTTTTTTTTTTTTTTTTTTATGATTGAAGGATTACTGGTGGCCCGGAGGCCTTTCCAGTTTCACCAGGACAGGTGGGCGAGCAAAGGCTCAGCCAGGAGGGGTGGGATTTGCTAACAGCTACCCGAGCGCCTCCGAAGGAGACCTAACAGCTCAAGAGCAGCTGCTTCGCGAATGAATCTACTACCGGATCGGAATCGNTGTACCACGAACACAGAAATAACAAAAGGAAACAAAACAAATAAAAACTTCCAGGAAGAGCACTTAGTCGGCAGATGTACCACGAACACAGGCCGCGCGAACAATGGCCGGGCTAACAAAAGCCGGGCGAACAAAGGCCGGGCGATCGAGTGGTCGATGAGCACGTCCGCGCGTGACGGGTGCCTCTATCGGAATGACACAATCGACTGCCTTTCTCGCCAGATCTTCTCATATGATTATTAGTCTTTATTGTTCGGTTACGCATCAACTTCACATTATTTGGGTATACTAACTAAAGCTATTGTCGCAATTATTAGGTGCACATAGACTTATTGATGAATTCCCCGTGTGTTTTATTATAGCTTTTTTTTTCCTACCTACGCTAATAGTCTAGAGAGATCATATCAGCGTAACCGTAACTAGTAGGTGAGCTCATGGGGCTCAAACCTGACGATGTTGCTAACACGAACCCTACCAAAAGCCGTGCTTTGCAGAATCTGCCACCGGATCGGAAACGCGACTCACTGAGAGGATCCGGCGAGAGACTCGTGGGCTGTGTCTGTGGGTTAATTTACTCGTCGAGTCCTTCGTCGCAAGCGACGGGTTCGACGAGAACGATGACCGGTGCTTGGGGTACCTAAAAGCACCGTTAGCGGATCGGGAGGATCCGAAATGACGTGGGATTATAACATTACTATTCGCACTCGTTGTAATACGTCAACATACACTTATGTAATGTTACCACTGCGTTGGGTTGGGAGGTCCGGGGGAGCGAGATCCCAACATTTGCTGCAATTCATCAAGATTGCTTACCGTTCTTTTTTTCCCCTACCTATTCGCTGGTAGCTTCAAGAGGCTATTCCAACTACGTCCGGACGGGTAGGTGAGCTCACGGGCTCAAACTGAGAGAATATGCTAACACTAGCCCTAGCAAAGAGCAGTGCTTCGCTGAATCTAACGCCGGATCGAAATCGCAGCTCAATGATAGGATCCGGCGAGAAACTCAATGGCGACGATGGTTTCGCGTTGCTGCGTCGGTTTGGTCGGATACCTATGCCTCATGTGTACTGTACTACTTAATATATTTCTTTGGTATCAACAGATATTCATACTTTCCAGTACTTTCCATATATTTTAATTGATTAAAATTAACAGACAGACAGACTCATAGCCCAACTGTGCCTATAGACACAAACCACTGAGTTTCTCGACGGATCTTCTCAGTGGGTCGCGTTTCCGTTCCGGTGGTAGATTCCGCGAAGCACTGCTCTTGCTAGTGCCAGTGTTAGTAACACTCCGGTTTGAGCCCCGTGAGCTTACCTACATGTTAGGGCGAAGCTGAAATAGTCTTTCAAGGCTATCAGCATAGGTAGGAATATTTTTTTTACCATAGACATAACGTTATCAAGAAAGTCCTAGGCTTAAAGAGGTCCTAGATTTAAAGATTAGTCCTTGACGAATTAAAATTCCTTTTTTGCTTACCGTTCAAAAAGAACACGGATGCTATTGTGAGTCCGAAGAATGTCAGTGTCCATTCGGTGCTGTCCACCATCGCCAATATCACGGTGAAGACAAATATGCACACTTCAATACACAATGACCAAACTATCCTCGTGGTTAAATTCCCGCTGAAATGCAATGCACAAATAAATACATACTAGAGGTCCCGCAGTAGTCGAAATTCGACTATAACACGGGTCAACATGAAATTTGACTTTGATTGCAAAGCATTAAATTTCGGTAGTTTAGGTCGTAATAAGACGGAAAAAAAATATATGGCATGAAAAACTTTGCTTTTGTGCTTAGAAGACTGATTGAACGAAATTTTTAAAAATCTCGGATTTTAATTTTTGATTGAAAATAAAACTATTGAAATAAAAATGTTTATTATTTTTATTAAGTTTTACTATCAAATTAGCTTACAGAAAAGTGGAAAATAACTTAAAAGTGCACACTTTTACTTTTTCTTTTATGTTCATAGCTACTTTCTCTCAATAAACCCCAAATATAGTCGCCCATCATGTTTTCATTGTATTGGCCTTGATAGCGTTGTTCAAAATTCATGATGTCCTGATGGAAACGTTCTCCTTGCTCTTCGGAATAGGCTCCCATATTGTTTTTAAATTTATCCAAATGAGCATGCAGCATATGTACTTTTAATGACATCCTGCAGCCCATGGCCTTAAAATTTGTAAGCATATCCTCAACCAACTTTTCGTAGTTTTCAGCTTTATTATTTCCTAAAAATTCAGAAACTACTGCTTGAAAACTGTTCCAACTTGCTTTTTGAGTACGCTTCAGCAACGTTGGAAATTTTTCATGGGCGAAATTTTTTACCTCTACGTCTTTTACTCGGATTCACCATACAAAAGTAGCAGTCAGTAATATGGTCTTTTGGTTCTCGCCAAATCCTTGGTATTGCAAATTTCATAGACCTTTTCTCACCTCGATACCAACCTAAAAATATAAAAATAAAAATTAATATGTCTATTATTTTGGATTCATCGCTTAATTAAATAAAAATTGCTTACCTTCCAAACACCTTTTACAATAACTACAAGCAACATGTGGAGCCCATGGCTTATCTTGATTCCGTACAGGACAGTCAAAATATGCTTCATAGGCTTCACAGAGAACGTGAGATGTCTTTAGTTCATATTTCACGTCTCGAACTTTAATAAATTGACCACATATAAAACAAAATGCATCAGCATCGTATTTGCACTTTCGTGACGACATTTTAAGTTATTCTGGGCTTGTAAATAACACCTGATGGTTGTTTATCACTCGGGTGCCATCTAGCGGCACAGTGTAAACGTTAATACCCCACTCTCACCGCGCGGTCTTTTTAAAAATATTAAAATCAATTAAAATTTATGAAAAAATTGAAAAATGAGTATTATTATTATAACTATCACAAAAGCAAACTTTATACCGAAAAAAGGTATTTTCTTTTCGTTTTTGTGCATAACTAACTGGAAAATAATAGTATAAACTTTAGGACAAAGAACGAAAATTTTTTTGTAGAGTCGTGTAATTAATTGGAATTGTAAGTTTGTACACTATTATGATTGTAGTTTATACTTCTATAGTCACAAATTTCGCCAAGACTACACTATAAAAAACATTAACAAAGACAAACCATATTCTATTCTCAATTTGACAACAGACGTCAAGAACAAAAGTTTGACAATAAATAGTATGCATGCGTGTGTGCGTCAAATACATGGTATGTAGTGTGTGTTATGTTTTCTTTATTGAATTAATGTATCTTTTATGCATTATTTAAAAAAAATATTAGCATTGTGCACTTCTTCTCTATATTCTCTATAAGTCTGGAAAATTTCGTACTCCGCCGTCCGCGCAATTTTCGTAAAAAGGGATACAAAGTTTTAGCTTCACGTATTAATATATAGATATTTTTATTGTCATTATATAATTTCAAACGATTCAGTTCTAACTCAGTGAGTCAGTAAAAGTTGTTTTTAATTAAATCCGCGACTCAGTAAAACAAATGAAAATCTTATATTTTTATTATCAGTAGTAGTAAAAATGTAATTTAAAGTAAGTCGTCGTGGCCTAAAGGATAAGACGTCCGGTGCAATCGTATCTAGCGATGCAACGGTGTTCGAATCCCGCAGGCGGGTACCAATTTTTGTAATGAAATATGTACTTAACAAATGTTCACGATTGACTTCCACGGTGAAGGAATAACATCGTGTAATAAAAATCAAACCCGCAAAATCATAATTTGCGTGGTGGTAGAACCTCTTGGGGGTCCGCAAAGGTAGGTATCACTACCCCGCCTATTTCTGCCCTAAAGCAGTAATGCGTTTCGGTTTGAATGGTGGGACAGCCTTTGTAACTATACCTTAGAACTTATATACCTCAAGGTGGGTGGCGTTGTAGATGTCTATGGGTTCCAGTAACCACTTAACTAACACTAGGTCGACTGTGAACTCGTCCACCCATCTAAACAATAAAAAAAAAAAAAAAAATTAACATACCCCAATTGGAAAAATATATTAAACCAGCTGAACAGCAAATTCGGTATCTGACTCGCCCAGCCGATATACGTGAGGAAGTTCTCGGACAAGGCCGGCTCCGAGGCGAGTTTGTACGTCTCAAAATACGCTTTCGCTGTTATGAACATGTTCCAGGCGGTCAGCGTTCCCAAGCCGTGAAGCACCAACGTCAGATAAATGAGGTTCCATTTATCTTTCGGTGGCGTCAGGTCCATTGCTATACCTAAAAGAATTATTAAATTTAGTACAGGACTTTTTGGCGGGAACGCGTATTAGTTAACATTTAGTGTTTCTTCAGGTTTAAATGTGTAATAACGGTGGTTTATTAACTGTTGAATATCTGTGAAAGTGCACAAATGTAGGAAAATGAAACAAAGCCGCTGGATTTAGCTTCTCGGGATCCTCCAAAAAGCCCACTGAAAAAGTCTCAGTAGTAAGTAAATAACCACCATTTTGCTGAGACTATCTTTCATCCCATATCATCTCATTTCATTTAATTTCATCTCAGTTGATTAATGCCTCAAATTAATCATCTTCATTTCATTTCACTCCATATTATCATTTTTCATAAAAATAAGTATATAAATTAAAATAAATAATAGTTTAAAAAAACAAAAAAAATACGCTTTTAAGTATGCCAAATTTCGAGTTAATCCGACGTTTTGAAGGGGTCAAAATCATGTTCAAAGATTCCGTTACATACTAACATACATACGTCTGAAGCTAATAAAAGCGTATTAAATAAGACGACCTAAAGGTTTAGGTTACCAGGTCATAAAATCCCTTAAAAAATTAAAATCTATTATGTTCAAAGATTCCGTTACATACTAACATACATACGTCTGAAGCTAATAAAAGCGTATTAAATAAGACGACCTAAAGGTTTAGGTTACCAGGTCATAAAATCCCTTAAAAAATTAAAATCTATTATGTTCAAAGATTCCGTTACATACTAACATACATACGTCTGAAGCTAATAAAAGCGTATTAAATAAGACGACCTAAAGGTTTAGTTACCAGGTCATAAAATCCCTTAAAAAATTAAAATCTATTATGTTCAAAGATTCCGTTACATACTAACATACATACGTCTGAAGCTAATAAAAGCGTATTAAATAAGACGACCTAAAGGTTTCGGTTACCAGGTCATAAAATCCCTTAAAAAATTAAAATCTATTATGTTCAAAGATTCCGTTACATACTAACATACATACGTCTGAAGCTAATAAAAGCGTATTAAATAAGACGACCTAAAGGTTTAGTTACCAGGTCATAAAATCCCTTAAAAAATTAAAATCTAGTACCTACATACATTTTTGACATTTCAATTAACGCCATTGAAAAGTTAAACTTTAATACAAGAGAACTTTAACCAAAACCCGAAATTACGGCGCCTAGAAGACGCGCAAGACACGTGGGTCTCATTGGCCTAAAATGGTAAAGACCACAGCCGGAGATGTTTAACCAAGACCTATATCAGTTAACAGAATCTTACCTCCCAACAGGTTAAGAAGACTTCGTTCAATAAATAAATAGTTAATAGCCGTGGCGACGCATAGAAGATATATAAATTCAAAAGCTTGATAGTTTTTATATTAAAAAATTATCGGCTCACGAAGTTGCTCCTAAATGAGTTGCTCAGCATCATTATTTCTTTGAACATACTAGAGCAAGAGCCCGCGACAGCCGGACCTTCGTTATTTTATAAGAGCTGAAAGTTTCTCTGTGTATGTCTCAAACACAGGTAAGAACGATCCGCGACTATAGAGTTCCGATTGTGATTACAGTAACATATATAAAATTCAGCTTTTATAGTATAACGAAAGTATAATTAAAATTTATTAAAGTTTAGGGATGTCTGGCAGGGGGTAGCCAACTGCAAGAAGGATAGGAATGGAAGGACAAATAATAATAAAAATTAACTTAACGAATTTAAGGTACCATTTTATATACCTTTACTGACTGTTACTTGCCCAAGTAACCACAATCGGAACTCTATAGTCGCGGGTCGTTCTTACCTGTGTTGGAGACATACACAGAGAAACTTTCAGCTTTTATAAAATAACGAAGGTCTGGCTGTCGCGGGCTCTTGGGCTATACAATCCGATCAAATATGCAAGAGTGAGAGAAGCAGTTGATTATAGGGCAAAAAATGCAGGGAAAGCGCTCCAGGAGACAGACGGATTCCAATACGATAATGAACACAAGATCAAATGAAGACAATCATACATAATCACGATCCTCATTAGTGAGGGAACGATAAAGAAGAAGCAAATTATCTGGCGCCACATTAGTGGCCCCGATATGTGGTCTATATAAAAACAACTACTGGTGGTAGGACCTCTTGTGAGTCCGCACGGGTAGGTACCACCACCCTGCCTATTTCTGCCGTGAAGCAGTAATGCGTTTCGGTTTGAAGGGTGGGGCAGCCGTTGTAACTATACTTGAGACCTTAGAACTTATATCTCAAGGTGGGTGGCGCATTTACGTTGTGGATGTCTATGGGCTCCAGTAACCACTTAACATCAGGTGGGCTGAGAGCTCGTCCACAAATCTAAGAAAAAAAATATATATTATTATTATACTAAAAATTATGTTAAAAGCCAGAATATTCGCTAACCTACTACGATCCACGTGATATCAATCCACCTTGAGACATGACCAACACAATAATTCATCCGACCACCAGTAATTTTTGTTTTTTTATTGCCCTTGTAGGCAGACGAGCATACAGCCCACCTGATGGTGAGTGGTTACCGTCGCCCATGGACTTCAGCAATGCCGGGGGCAGAGCCAAGCCGCTGCCTACCGTTTTTCACAGTAAACTTAAGATTCACATAACCGGATTCAAACGCGGAGACGTCGCTTAGTTATGACAACTATATAAACGGCTATGTGTTCTAGATTCCTGGACAGCTTGACCGAACAGGATCTAAAGCCGTTTAATCTCCCAGCTTATTTACTAATGCACATACCGTCGAGCTTATCGTATTCATTGTGAAACAACCACCGGAGCCCATATTTATGAAAACTCCTTGAAGAAACTAACGCTTATTTAATCTGACAATTAATTTCATACTTCGTTACAATTTAGATGTATCAGAAATTTTAACAAATTAAATATATACCACTTATATTCAATTAAGACTTATATTTTGGTAGGCAGCGGCTTGGCTCTGCCCCTGGCATTGATGCAGTCCATGGGCGACAGTAACCACTCACTATCAGGTGGTCCGTATGCTCTTCTGCCTACAAGGGCAATAAAAAAAATCAAAAGAAAAAAATTATAACAAAAAATATTCAATTAAATCCAATAAAAAGATAATGTAATTTCGAATCATTCTATCTACTTTCTTTCATCACAATAATTTCGCAATGTAATAATAAGAAAATATTAAAATCAAAAATTGTAGCAAGACTTAGGTGCACACAAATTTATTGATGAAACCTGCATGTGTTTTAGTAGAGCGCCTCGTTATACCCACATTGTTATAATGTGATCAGCAGTCATACAAAACCGAGAACACAGCGTTGAGTGGGAAGAGTAACTTCGAATTCACTCACACACGGTTTATATATATGCTACAAAACGTGAAATTTTTAATAGCGCGATTCAGGTTTTTTGCAGTTTCTAAAAAAATTATAATACTTAGAAAGAGAAAACTATTCTATAAGTGTTTCAGGACATATCTAGAAAGATATTAAATAAACAGATTGCTGAAAAAAATATTAAATAATTACAGAAATCGATTTCTAACAGTTTCTGAAGATACGGCGTGCAAGCGGAAGGAGAGGGGAGAACACTTATCATAGTTTGCTATTTCCATAGTACTACACAATTTGCCTCAATATAAGTATATAAACTATAAAGAACATTATTTTTTTATTACTTTTCTTGCGTGTATATTTTATAAAAATGTTCTTTTTTTTCTTACTATAATGTATCTTTAGACATTTTAGTATTCAACTTTTTTTCTTTTTCTTTTCTACCTAAATAGATGGTCATATCAGCGTCACCGGGCTAGTACGTGACGTACGCTCACGGGGCTCAAACCTGATGACGTTGCTAACACGAACCTTAACAAGAGCCGTGTTTCGCAGAATCTACTACCGGATCGGAGACGCGACCCACTAAGCAGATCCGGCGTGATACCCAGTGAGCTGTGTCTGTAGGTTTATTTACTCGCCGAGCCCTTCGTCGCAAGCGACGGGTTCGACGAGAACGATGACCGGACTATTCAACAATTCCGAAGGCGGTTCATGCACACAATGTTCCAGCGACATGTCAATCTCAACCAATCTATAGTGTATGCGGTAGATCTCGTGTTGTCATATAAAACAAAAACAGAATAATTAAAGGTTCACTCTTCAATTATCCTCACGTCCGTTCTTACTTTTCTTACATTAGGACCTAGCTGACCGCGTTCCGATTGATAAACAAATAGATAAATAAAAACAAGGCAAGTCGTGTTACCCGTTTAAAACATATTTCACGCGCGATTACCTTTCAAGTTGAGCGTGTCATTGGGCAGGTTCGTGGCCTCCCAAGCGGGTGTCAGTTTCACCGGCTCGTTACGTAGGAACGGAGCCTTCTCGCCATCCTCCCAGCCTGTCGACAAAACCAACATGAATGCTCACGACAACTCGTTCTAAAATAGAGAGACTACCGACAGCCGTGATATAGGTTTCGATGCACCAGAAAATGAAAGTAGAAGATCGAGGAGTGAAAAGCTATTGAGTGACATTTTTGCAACTTTACACGAGAATCATTTAAAGTTTCAAATTTGGAAAAAATATTATAACAAAAAAAAAACTTCTTCAGGTCTTACAATGGAGTTACCTTTATTGAAGTTCAATTAAAAACGTCGACCTGTTAATGCTTATACCAAATAAAACGCACCTTTAATTTTCAAAGATAAAGGTTGCGTAATAAGCGAAATTTTATTGAAATAGCCTTCCACTTCTCGATATAATATTTCCTCGCCTATTTAGTATCGGTGACGTATTTGGAATGAGACAAGCGTTATTTTAGTTAAAAAGAACGTGATGATGCAATGACTAAGGTCTTGTGATGAGGAGAAGTCGTATAACCCTCAAAGTAAGGGCCGGGGTCGCAAACACCTACCTTCAGACAGACTATTATTAAGAGACATCCTCTGGTCTAACTGTCGGATGTACAATCTTGACCGCAAACTTTGCACGCAATTAATTAGAAAATAGAAATAGTATGATAGAAAAAGTAAATTAATAAAATAATAACATTAACAAAACAGTTTTTTTAGAGTTTTTTTGTGGGTATTACGTTACGCGGTTGCAGGCAAAGCTGGCCATTTGTTTTGAAGCTTCAAAATCGTCACCTATGATTTTAAAGTTGATAAATAATTGCCAACGACGACAATTTCTCCAATCCAACCCTCATCAGTGAAAATAATTTGGCAATAGATATATAAGTGTTGCGATTTTCAAAAAGAAGATAAGCAGAAATGTAATTATTTGCTAGTTGTTTTATCAGGTGGTACACAGAAGGATTTATGATACAAGGGTTGCCTATAGCCGACCAGAATAAAGCAGTGACATTTTTGGTGCAGCCGCCACGTTTTGCGTTTTCGCTATCTTCTTCAAATCTGTCAACAATTAACAGCAACACGGAACTCAAGTGCGAGAACGAGTAAATTCGCTGTTAAAAAACACTTTCAAATTTTAATTTGTAGATTGAACAGCTTCGCCAATCGATATAAATGTAAGTACTCTCAATAATTTAAAAGAAATCTCTGAAAACCGTGTTCCATTTAAAAAATGGCCAAACCAAGTGTAAGTTGTAATACCAAATATTAAAAAGCGTATAAAACTCGTGGTAGTCGTGTTTTTATGATGCGTCTTCAACTTAACTTATCTGTTTAGTGGCACTGTAGTAATTCTGTAATAAATTATGGCCGAAGATTTTTTTTCCACAGGAGAAAATCGCCGGATCCCCACCCGCGCGGCAGGTGGGGTATGTGGGAGTTGAACCTCACTAAAAACTCCTGCCGCTCACAACCGGCGCCCTACCTCGGACCGGGCCGGAGCCCAGTCGGGGCTATTGAAACGGCGGGACAGGGTTGACGCAGAGCACATTACATCCATCCCACCGTCCCACGGACGCCGGACCNCGTCAGCCTACAGCGGAGGCCCTCCCCCGCCCCGATCTCGTCCAGATCAATAGCCGCGCGCGCCCGGGAGACTACATCTCCGTATGACACGCCCTTGGCCTCGGCGGCCGGCAGCAGCGTTAAGACCACTGCCGCCGACCGCGGCGCGCGCGACGACTTCTTCTTCGTCTTCTTTTTCTTGTTGGCGGCCACAGGCGCTGGACCCTGTTGGGGAGCAGCCTGAGACGCCGCAGTGGCCGGTGCTCCACCCACTTGGGGAGCTGTCGGTACGATGGCCGAATTCTTAGCTAGTTTTTGTGGCATTTAAGAGATCTTTAAAAACAAATGTGTTTTATAAAAATAAAATTTGTTTCTACAAATTATTTCTTTGGTGTGGCGCAAATAGTAATAATATCGAAAAGATCAAATTTCAGTATAAACAATTTAACTTTCTAAGAAATAAATAGGCTTCCAAAAATCAAGGAACTCATTTCCCGTTTATGTTAACATTTATGCGGTATCTACTTCTTTACTTAGTATTTTCTTTTAGTACTCATTTTTTTACTGCAACTATTTAATTAATCCACAAGCGAACCGTAACCAACTAGAATTTTGTCCTTTAATTATTGTGGCATTATAATGTTCGTAAAAAAAAAACAATTAAATCCAAAAGCCAAATGCCCAGACCAATCCGACGGGAATCGAATCCGAAGCCCGGTTCAGTAGTCAAGGTCACTGACCACTCGCACGCGACGAGGCGATCGGACGTGCTTGAACATTGAACGTATGCGCTTGAACTCAAAACACCGATTTGTATATTGTTTATCTGATTAATTGTACATTTCAACATCACGTAATCTAATATATAAAATTCTCGTGTCACAGTTTTCGTTGCCATACTCCTCCGAAACGGCTTGACCGATTTTGATGAAATTTTTTGTGCTTATCCGGTATCTATGAGAATCGACCAACATCTATTTTTCATCCCCCTAAATGTTAGGGGTAGTCCACCCCTAAATTTTTATTTTTTATTTTTTAGACAAAAATTTTAATTTCTGTTTTTTTATGATACAGCATACAAAAATACATACAACCCTAAATTTGCACCCCTCTACGATCAACCCTTATTTTTTATTTGCTAATTAAAAACTAAATTTTTTGCAAGATTTTTGTTTTTATTTTGTCATGACTTAGAATAAAAAATTTCATATTGCTCTGAAATTTTCACCCCTCTACGATCAACCCCTATTTTTTATTTGTTAATTATAAACTTTAATTTTTTGGGGAAGATTTTTATTTTGTCATGAATTAAAATAAAAAATCTGATGTTACTCTCAATTTTCACTCTTATACGATCAACCCCTATTTTTCCATCCCGATTAATATTTTTTTTATTCTATGCACAGATCCGCAATAAGGTTGCAAGATGGCAATCAAATATTATAATTGTAGTACGATAAATTCTTATACAGAGTTTATAATTTCAAATTCCNCTATGCACAGATCCGCAATAAGGTTGCAAGATGGCAATCAAATATTATAATTGTAGTACGATAAATTCTTATACAGAGTTTATAATTTCAAATTCCTTTAAATATAATTTTTTTTAAATTGAATTTGATCTCCCGCCCTCGCCGGTCGACTACTGATCAATTATCAATCGATCAGCTATCCCCGCCAGGTGTCACCACTCATCCAGCAAACATCACTTAGTAGGGATGAGGACGAAGCCGGTCTCCTGTCTTACTTACTCAATATACATAATAGATTATACACTTAATATATTTGAGAGCTATACAATACTATACATTTTTCAGCCATGTTTTTTTGGTTTTATTTGTGTATCAATAGTATGTTCAGTAGGTCTGAGAATCGGCTACTATCTATTTTTCATACCCCTAAGTGAAAAGGGTTGTCCACCCCAAACATTTATTTTTTATTTTAATTTTTTGGATATATATTTTTTGTTTATAATGAGGTAATAAGTGGTTAAATGAGGGTTTTTTTTCTACAGTAGAATTTCCCTAGAAATCTTATTTAAGGCAACACAACGTTTGCCGGGTCAGCTAGTATCTATATATTAATACGTGAAGCAAAAACTTTGTATCCCTTTTTACGAAAATTGCGCAGACGGAGGAGTATGAAATTTCCCACACTTATAGAGAATATAGAGAAGAAGTGCATAATGCTAACATTTTTTTAAATAATGCATAAAAGATACATTTAATCAATAAAGAAAACATTACACACACTACCGTGTATTTGAAACACACACACATATACTCTTTGTTTATTGTCAAACTTTTGCTAATGCTTATATTAAGTCTGTAGTCAAATTGAGAATAGGTTAATATTGTTTATCTTTAATATTACGAGTATTTGTTTATAGTGTATTCTTAGCGAAATCTGTAACAATAGAACCATAATAATGTCGAAACTTATAATTTCAATTAATTATAGTCGAATTTCGACTACTGCGAGACCACTAGTCTGATTAATTGTACATTTCAATATCACGTAATATCTAGTTTAATATGACAATATAACAAAATTTCGTGGCTGTGGAGTTAAACACTTAATAAGTACACATATAATGTTGTTAGTCTTTAGTATTAGTAGATTAATCGTAAGTGACCTCTGAAGATGAAATGAATCATGTATGTAAAGAACCGGATTCTTTTGCTAGTCGGGATGATGTAATGTTAACGAGTTACAGTACCGTAAAAGAATTTAGAAAAAAAAAATTGATTTCCAAGGTTTTTTTTTTAATTGTGTATATGGTTGGACGAGCTCACAGCCCACTTGGTGTTAAAAGGTTAACGGAAGCCCATAGACATCTACAATGTAAATGCGCTATCCACATTGAGATGTAAGTTCTAAGATCTCAGTATAGTTACAACGGCTGCCCCATCCTTCAAACCGAAACGCATTACTGCTTCACGGCAGAAATAGCCGAGATGGTACCTACCCGTGCGGACTCATAAGTGATCCTGCCACCAGTAATTAACCAAATTATAATTTTGCGGGTTTTCATTACACGATGTTATTCCTTCACCGTGGAAGTCAATCGTGAACATTTTTTAAGTACGTATTTCATTAGAAAAATTTGTAACCCGCCCGCGGGCGGTATTCGAACACCATTGCATCGCTACATACGGATGCACCGGACGTCTTATCCTTTAGGCCACGACGACTTAATCACTTTTGACAAATAGTAACTTATCAAATAGTTTTTACTAGAGTAGAATAACTGTTTTGTGCTCCCAAAATATTGCATTACGAATGATATATCTAAGTGTGAAAGGCTCTATCTATGGTATAAGCGGCTTTTTTACAACTTTACAGAAGATCCGTTTAAAGTTTAAAATTTGGAAAAAATATCATAATATAAAAACTTATTCAGCTATTACAGCGTAATATCGCTTAAAACAAATAGCATGTCACCTCTCGAATAATGATCAGAGTACAAAAAAAATCTTCC